AAGACAATACTAAAGAATATATATGTTGAACACATAACTTAAACTCTTCAAATTTCAGTGTTATTAAAATCGGTGACAATATTATACAGCGTGCAGTTGTACTGAATAGATTTGCAGTCATTTTATACACGATGTGAACAGTTAGACAAAGAATAACACGAAGAATACAGTTCTTTTTTTTTTTTAAAAAATGAGCGAAAATAGATAAAAATAAAGAAGAAAATTGTAATGGGACGTTGAAGTGAAAGAAACCAGAAGATGAATGAGGGAACGAGTCATGCTAACAAAAGTAGAAAATATATATCATAAAACATGATTTATGCAGGGAGTAGAATCAGGTAGTCTAAATTCCATCATGTTGTAAAAAGAAACGACGTGATTCTTGGTGGGGACATATTGCATACCACCATGGGTGGTCTCTGGTAACTGCACACCAATTGTTATCTGACTTGAAATCCACCCCAACTGATACATTTTTTTTTGGGTTGCCAACAGCCATTTTTTTTACACTTGCTCCGCAGTTATATTCTGTACATTCATAATATGCTCCTCGTAAATGGTACGTAACAAATGTTGTTGTTTTTCTTTTTTTTAGTTCTTTAAAATTGAGGGAGATTTGATAAAAACCAAGTTTAAAATACGGTAAAAAGGTAAAGAATGAAATACTTGTTTGCAGTAAATATCCGGGAATAGTTTTTGGTATTTAAATTAGACTGCTTGAAAAATAAAAAGAGTAGAGGATCGTGTGATGATTGATTTCACGTCATTAAAATTGTCTCGGAGGTTTTTCTTTTTTTATTATTTATCAACGAACAAATGCGTTATGATTTAGAAAGATTCGCTAATAGGATGAGCGACTATTGCTACGGATATTGGCGCATAAATTTGAATCGACGAGTCGAATTCAAATTCCGCCTTAATCTGTTACGCTACCTTTTGCACCATTGTCTCTGGGAATCACTCCCTACTCTAGGTATAAATAGCAGGGTAGATTGAGATCTTCACCCAAATCTGGAGAAACCAACGGGAAAACAATCCACTATCATTTCCATGAAAGCGTGAAAGTTCCCAGATCATGAAGAAAATAAATCTTTTCAGATTCATAATCTCTTACCCTCTGCGGGGATATGGTATTTAAAAAAGCTAATGAAAGTTACACAAACGAATGTATGAGGATCAACAATTAAGCATTATTCATGATTTGAGGAACGTGTTTGTTAGATGATCTACAGTGAATATTTTTATGGAATTTTGGTAAACCTTCGCCAAAATGCGTAATGATCGGACATAATGTGTGGATCTAAGTTGCCACAATTTTAAATTGTTTATAAGATTTCCTTGTTGCCAAAAAATTCGATTTTATAAGCTCATCAAATGACAGCACAAAGTGTCACGTACGGGATACTCAGAAAGGAACAAAATTTCAAAGATTAATAATCCTGAAGTCGATTCCACGGCATAGCGTTCGTATTAAACTGCTTAAAATGATTGCCTTTCAATTCATTGCCCGGTAGAATTAATCCGATTTCCACACAGACCAATGAATACTGAATGGAATATTGTAACAATCAGGAAGACATTCAACAATAGAAATCCTTCATAAATAAGATAACAATATTATGTTGAATAGATGTGGGTCATAGAATAGAAACTTTTCTCGGTTAAGATATCAATATTACGCATTTTTATTCGAATTGGAATTTGTTTAACAGCCAATGAAAATTCTATTTTAAAAATCATTACATAACAAAATAACTTTTTGGCAGTGTCATTTATTGTGATATTGTTGGTCATTCCATCTGAAGCAATGTAATATAGCCACTAGGATGATGCAAGGGGTTACTGAGAGTGAAAGAAAAAGAAAGAAAAAAATAGACAGAAGATAACAATTGTCGTTGCATTTCAGTTCTTCAAGATGGAAGCTGACCATAAAGTTAGAAGCTGGAAGTGAGTTAAAGGAGAAAATGCGGAAGAAGAAACTATGTAGAATCTATGTTTACAGCTAGCGACTTCACCAAGGAAATAATGAGTAGAAACTGAAAATCGAATTGTACGTTTAAATTAGTGAAGTATAGTATATCTGAATTATTTGCATTATCTGGAATTTATGAAAGAACAAAAAAAACGTCAAATACTCACTCATCACTTTAATATGTGAATCGACTTTTTTCTTTTAAAACTGCCTTAATTCAATGGTAATATTTTCTATATGATTACATCACCTCTAAAAATACTCACATGACATACTTATTCGGTAATCCCTTAACTTGAGTGCGTCTTTAGTTTTCTATAACGTGAATTTTAGTACAAATGAAAGACAGTATAGAAGGGGTCCGTAAGTTCTGGAAACATAGCAAATCTCATCAACAATTTTTTTAACTCCACATAATAAACACGGTTTTGTCGAAAGAAGAAAGAAATGGCTTCATTTTTCTGGGCCATGTTAAAAGAGAAGGTGTATTCAATAAAAAATCACAAATGCAACACACTTGATTGAACTTGAATGTGATAAAATTGACGGGAATGCAGTGTTATTGCATCGTGTTCGAGTGAATCTTGCAATGCGCATCAAAATTTGCATCACAAACGACAGAATTAACATTGAAGATGTTATTTGTTAATATTTTAATTCAATAAAATGTTATTGAAAATTTCATTTCTTAACAATATCCATTTTCGCCTTTGTGTCCAGATTTTTGGGAAACACCGTCTACAAAATGGTCAACCTGTCGTGCTTTTATAAATGATCTTATCTCTATATCAACTGTAAAGATTGGATACTCGGCCTACTGTTATGCTTTGAATCAGTTTAAACAAGTCTGCGCATTCTCCTGCGACCCCTTTCATCACCAGATAATTTTCCGAATGTTTTCTGCTCATTCTCTGTAAACCATACAAGTGGATTTACGTGAAAAGTCTAATATATAAGTGTTTTATGAAATACTCAGATTACTTCGTCTCACCAACGATCTTACTGTTTTCAAAGTAAAATAATATTACTAACTAAATAAATAATAATAAAAGTAAACTAGGCAATTCAACGTGACCATGTTTAAAAGGCTGTTGCATCATTGTCTAATTCGAAATATGTTCATATACTTAATTAAGTAGCCGCAATTTATATACATATATATATATATATATATATATATATATATATATAATTTAAATAAAAACAGACCACTTTAAGGTTCCATGTAATAAATTATTTCACCACAGCCCTTTTAAAGGACTGCGGATCATCAGACTTTACTTACAAAAGTTGAAACGAAATTTTCGTTTCAACCTTTGTAAGTAAAGTCTGATGATCCGCAGTCCCTAAAAGGCTGTGAAATGAGTTCTCTGATTTTATCCTCCTTGGGTCTACCCATACGGATTACCTAGATTTCCATAAACTAAATATATATATATATATATATATATATATATATATATATATATATATCTGTGTTTGCATGTGTGTCTTTATATACGATGCGCTATTCAAACATTCGTCGAATCTGAATGGTTCCTGAGGTTTTATAATCTGCTGTAAACCCTGTAAGGATGTTCTATCGATATGAAATTCGGAAACTTTAATGGCCACAGTGAACTCTTTGGTTTTGGGTAGGAAGCTTTTCTAATGGGAAAATTGGTGAAATGTGTGCGTTTAAAACTTTTAATGCGAAACAATATATAAGTTCGCTTATTTCGGCTTTAGAAGTACGGTTGCTCTTCATTTCTTAATTAAGATTACAACATCTAAACGTAATGCTATACGATATTTTGTGAAATCTTTGTATACATGCAAAAGTGTGCATACATAAAAAAACATTTGAAACCATGTGTTAATGTATTAATTATTTTAAACTGGAAGGTTTTTGCATCTTCATTTGTGGCTTCGTTCTTCTGTGCACCGTGAAATATATATTTTCTTATGTATAAACTCATGACGAACGAAGAGAAGAGGTATTTTAAACAAGATAAAGTCGATGATGAAGAACGTAAATTAATCAGTCAGTTCAAGTATATAAAAAAGAGAGCTTCTGAATAAACATAATTTTAAGAGCAGAACAAACAATGGCAGCTATAGCACATTTAATTCCATCTGGACAGCCAGACAATCTGCCTGAAATCAAAGATCAGACTCTTGCGTGAATTGGCCTTCTTAATCTTTGGGGACATCTGCGAACTTTAAACAATAAAAGAAGAATTAATCCGAAGTATTCAAGCCTTAAATGGGATGCTACAGAACCGTTCTCAGTATCTTCTATGTTGATGATGCAGTGAAAGACTCCATCAGGCAAGAAACAGACTTGTTTGAAGACCTCGTACCTACCGTTTTGGAAGAAAAAGTAAGATAGAATGTTATGGACACGTCATTAGAACCGGAAATATTTTCATCGCCTTCTCAAATCTTATTACCTAATACTAATGATGATGAGACAAAAAAAATGTGCTGACAACTGCACTGAGTGGATTGAAAGGGAATTCAAAGACTCAGACATTAGAACGAAACCAAAACATATACAAGGAGCTGGTCAGACTCAGTGACCACACACACCATGATGATGATGATGATGATAGGAATGACTATAATTATGTTGCACGATCATTTTCCTCTTATGACTACAATCGAGGTTCGATTCTAATGGAAGAATATTTTTAATGAAATATTGTTAATCTTTGATAGCGAAAATTCTGTCTGGTTTTGGATCATCAGCAAGATCGTTTTTCTTTGGATAAAGTGAATAATTTCAAGTAGATATTGAAACAGGGCAATGATTGTTTTCCTGCAAAATTTGTTAAGATATTTGGGTATAATACATTGCCGAAACTTCTTTGCAAGATCCATACGCAAACGTGTAATGTTCACTAGAACAGTCAAGATTTTATATTCAGTTAAACATTTCTTTTAAGTGAAGAATTATCAACTCTTGTGTCTGGTCACCTTTCGCTTAGTGTGTAGCAAAAATTGCGAGATCGTTTTTATATACAAAACGTTTCATTTCACGACAAGAATGGGTTGAATTTGATTTTATTCTCAAATTGCCGAAGTAAAATTTAGCACATCTTTCTTTATATACAATTATCTTAATCTGATCAAAATTGAGAATAATTAATTTTGATTTCATGGACAAATGGTTTAAGATTTATATTTTAAAAATTAAAATAATTTGTAAAAAAAGAAGTCAAAATATTATCTCTCCATTAAATACATCATAACGGAATCCGTTTGCCGAATCAAACATATGCATAAACATTCTTTGCCTGAAGAAGTTCTCGAGAAACGAAACTCGTGTTGCAAAATCATGGAGAATAAAGCATAACATATATTTGCTTTAAAAAGTCCATATTACAATCAAAATGTTTGCGGTTTCTGTGTTGTTTTTCAATATATATATATATATATATATATATATATATATATACATGTGTGTGTGTGTGTGTGTGTGTGTGTGTGTGTGTGTGTGTGTGTGTGTGTGTGTGTAAGCAAATATATGGATATAGATCCGACAGTATGAAGTTTTTCATTCAAAATACTCAAATACGTTTTCACAACATCGCCCACGTGACGACGACGTGATCATATTTAAACGGAACGCTGATCTTATAAAAGATTTTAGTTATCTGTTTGGATTGTTCTTGCTTTTATGTCCATCGTCTTTTTCATGTTGAATTGAACATAGTCTATGTTAATTATGTTTTATGAATATGTCCTGAAGATGGTATATTAGACCGAAACGTCCAACGTTGACATTATATTAACATTAAAACAGCATAATTGCATATTAGGATTTTTGTTTGTTTTTTTCCGTATATTTTTCTTCATTTATATATTTATATATATGTGTTATTATTTTTTCTATGTATCTCTTCATTAACAGTATCAAGGACACATGGCACAGTGGATAAAGGCGTTGGTTAGATCCAGTGATAGACCCAAAGAAGGTGAGTTCAATACCTGGTTAAGGCAGTGGAGAACTTTCAGAGGGAAAATTAGCCGGAGATAACTGATAACTGACATCCATCAAACATGGCACGTGGAACTAGAAAAGTCTACCCCAGTGATCGAAATAAAGGGTTCAGTTCGAAATTCCAACCACCTGAAGAAGGCCGGAGCGTACAACGGCCGAAACGTTGTGACAAATATGGCGACAAAGATGAGAACAATAGTCCGACTAATGTAAATACTGTACATAATACCTCATCTCAGAAATATAGACAGATCTCTTCATTCAATTAATATATTTGAAGAAGAAATCTCTTTAAATACCTAGACACTAGCAAACACGTATACGGATCCAAAAACATTGTAGAAAATCGATAAACATAGCTTATTCATCAGGAAAATTAATTGTATATAGCGAAAAAATGTACTCATGAATTGCATTGCCTTATCTGAAGATTAGTTTTTTTTTTCCTGTAAGTCATTTCATATCTATCTATCTATCTATCTATCTATCTATCTATCTATCTACACACACACACAAACACACATATATGTGTGTGTGTGTCTGTGTCTCTGTGTGTGCCTCTGTGAGTGTGTGTTTTTGTGCGTGTGTAAAGCAGTAAGATGTTTATTTTTAATCTAAACTCAATCTGAATAGGTCTAAGATGAAGCTGTCTTTTTCGACTTTGTCTGTAAAACGAGTATGAAATATTCTGATACTGTATGAAAGTATTTATAGTTAAATCATTTTCCACCATTAAAAAAAAATGCTATTTTCATCGGGAACGTAGTAAAACAAATGACCCATTTTCAACTTTAGATGTTGAAGGAAATTGTACACCGACGAAAATAAATTTGCCAACATTGTTGTTATTTTTACTAATGGAATGTAGAGACTAGTGTAATTTATAAATTATACAAACTTTTCAAAGACACCAGTAAACTTGTATCGTTTTTTGCGTATCATTTTGAATTTAACTAATGTATGTGATATAATCTGAGAGACTGGCAAGAGTTTGCAAAGAACAATTTAAATAGATGTCATCAATAGTTCAATTTTCTTTTTCATCTTGTTGCATATGTATTTCCGTATTATGTTCAAAAAGCATGTTAATGCTTTATTTTATGTGACCGAATTAACGCTTCATTTGTCAATAAATTCGTGTGTATAACAAAACACTTTATTTCTCGTTATATATAACATATTGTTAATATTTACTATATTCTGTGCAAATTTGATAGTATTGGTAACAATACTAATAAATTTTAGTAACTGTGATGAGTATTAGCAATACTGAAAATATTAGTAACATTAATAAATATTAGTAATAATAGAAAATATTTTCTTAAGACTTACAATTTGCCAAGTATTTGCGATTCAACCTCTCTCCTCCAATACAAACGCACACATGCAAACATGCAAATTATATATATATATATATATATATATATATATATATATATATATATATGTATATATATATATATATATATATATATATATATATATATATATATATATATATATATATATATATATATATATATATATATATATATATATATATATATATATATATATATATATATATATATATATATATATATATATATATATATATATATATATATATATATATATATATATATATATATATATATATATATATATATATATATATATAAATAAAAAAGAAAGTACAGTAAGATATAAAATCCGGTGTTCTTATAGAAACATTGAAACATGGTTGGAACTGTGTAGCGAAAATAACCATATTTTAAATCAATTAATTTATAATATATATATATATATATATATATATATATATATATATAGTCGACTCTCACTTCGAATTCGACGTATGAGAGTCAAGCAAATCAGTTCCTAGGAAACTGACAGCCGGACTCCAGCACATGAGATTGATTATAGTGGTGAAGGTTTTGTGAAGAACCATCCACATTTTGAAGGGCTGAATAGAGAGACTTGGTGCACTACGTGCCACAGGGAACCAAAATGTCCCTTCGCATTTTTTTTTTTTATATATATATATATATATATATATATATATATATATATATATATATATATATTCACGACAACATATGTCTAGAAAACCTGAATCCGACGATAACAATTGAAGGAAAAAAATAAAATGAGAGAAATATAGAAAAGTTTAAGAGGTGAGTATAAAGTAAAAAAAAAAATGGTGAAAAGGACAAAAAATCACGACATTCTACATGTACGCACGTACGCGCAGACGCACAGACGGGCGCATGTGCGCATGCGCATGAACGCATACAAACTCCCATAACCTATGAATAAAAACGTGTACCAATGAAATGTACATACAAAAAGAAAAATGAAGAATTATAAGCACTCAATTGATGATATCCCCTGACAAGTGGACTCCGTAATTCCTCGAATATCCGTCTACGAAACTCTGAGGTAGGTAGCATCAATCATCTAAGCGATAAACATTTTAGCTGTCCACACACACGCACACACACACACACACACACACATACGCACATATACACACGCACACATATATATTGTTTATACGTTTTTTTTATAGATACAAATATTGAAGTTAATGTTCTGTTTCTAGTAAACAATATTAACAAAGTGACAGGCATGAATATCCGAGAGATTTCCGAGAAATATATTTCCTACGTGCAACCATCATATAGCCTTGCATTCTAGACCATTTCGATACAGAGGAATCGTCTTGTTAGCAAGGTCAAATTACTGTTTTTAATCTAGAGATTCCCCATGATTTCTCTCGAACTCTCATATCTGGTCAAAGAGATTGCTATCTTAAAAATCATATCATATATTATGTGTTATGGGGTCTACCACTTTTTCATACAAGTGGACTCAACCAGTATGTATTTGTACTGCTGCCGTTAAATACCCAGAGTTAGACAGTCACTCAGAGTAGAGAGACTGAGACTGAGGTAGAGTAATAGTGTGAGGTAACCACTTGTAGAAGTCACAGTTACCAGTACGTAGACTCTAAGGAAGTCCTACTTCGAGACTATATATATATATTATTATTGCTACTAACCGTGTCCCTGGATTTACTAACAGTATTACCCATTGTATTATTGTGTAAACATATTTAATTTCTTATCTTTAATTCATGCGTTTGTCATTCATTGGGGACCAAATTTCATCTCGGGATCCACAACAAATTAGCGACGAATATTCGGACACACGCAGAAATCAACAAAGGAAAAATCTTCGCTCGTCGTCCAACAAACAAATTGGCGACGAAGATTCGAACACATGCGGAAAAGTAAAAATCAGCAAAAGAAAAATATTCCCTCGTCGTCCAACAAGCAAATTGGCGTCAGGCGATTCGATCTCACACGAGAAGAAGAAATAGAAAAATCCTTTCCTCGTCGTCCTCAACAAATTAGCGACAAAGAGTTACGAGGATTAAAAATACGTAAAATTGAGTTATCATGGAAGATTTTTAAAATATTTTGGTAGAACTTATAAAACACCAAAATGATCAACAATTACAAATGCAAAAATACAAAATGATCAACAATTACAACTACAAAAACGAATGGAAGAAAAATGTCAAGAGCAATTAGAAAGACAAATAGAGCTCCAGGAAGTAATATTGAAAGTAGCGGGCAACAATCAATTAGATATTGAAAAAGAAGCAACTTTTTCGCAAGACGCACTGTAGAGATCTTCAAATATTCTCTAGATGAGGACAAACATTTTGGAGATTACTTGAATACATGAATATATCTTCAATATTGACTGTCAAAATTGGACAGAAGCAAAAAACCTAAGTCTATTGCTTAGAAAATTAGGAACTGAAGAATATACAAAGTTCGTGGATTATATCTTGCCAAACAAGACGAACGAATTAATATTTGACGAAGCAGTGACATGTCTTAAAGAACTCTTCAGCCCCAAAACATCACTCTTTCACTGGAGGTGGAAATGCCTTAACCTGGTAAATGGCGATAATGTGGATTATTCCACGCTTTCCGCAATCGTAAATAAACATTGTGACGACTTCAAACTAGCGGAATTAACCCCAGACAATTTCAAATGTCTTATCTTTGTTCAAGGGTTAGTTTCTACAAAAGATAGCGAAATGCGCAGAAGAATGCCTGCAAAATTACAAAATGAACCGGATCTAACATTACAGCAATTATCGGAAGATTGCCAGAGGTGTCTAAGTATAAAGAAATACGCAAAGGACATTGAAGAATCAGCTGTTTCTCATATACGTAAGTTAAACAAAAGTCTACGTTCTTCATCCTCCCCAGAAAGAAAACTAAAATTTTACGACAATGAAAAAAGATTCTCACCCTCCCCGGAAAGAAAAAGAAAAATTTATAATAAGACAAAAAGTACAACATACAGGACGAATTATGACGAATATCGAAGCAAATATAAGTCCCCTCCATCAGCATTTTATCGATGTGGAGGACTACATTGGAACAAGGATTGCCGCTTTAGATATAAAAACTGTCTTGAATGTGGAAAAAAGGGCCACAAGGCATCCCAATAATAGAAATAGAAAAGATACTAATAGAATAAGAGCTACAAGGATGCATAACGATGACAACTCCAGCGTAAGGAAATATGTGGAACTGGAAATTTTAAATAAAAAGATTAAATTACAACTGGATTCGGGTTCCGACCTCACGATAATCAACTTATAGACATGGAAAAGACTCAACAGACCTACCATGTTACACGCACACAAAATTGACAAATCGGTTAAAGACAAACGAACAAAATTTGAGGGAGAAATAATCGGGAATGATAAATTTCACGGCAAAATAAATAAAAATAAAAAAAAAACTTAAGATATACGTCATGAAAGATACTGAAAATCTAGTAGGTATCGACTGGATGCAGAAGTTCAACGTTTGGGACCTACCTATCAACTCTTTTTGCAAAAAGTTAGAGGTTGAAGCATCAGATACTATAAAATTGAAGGAAGAATTATATAATCAATTTCCTGAGGTATTTTCAAGCGGGTTGGGACGATGCAACAAATTTAAGGCCAAGATTGAATTAAAAGAAAACGTCCAACCAATTTTTAAAAAGAAGCGAAATGCACCGTTCGCTACTATAGAAAAAATAGACAAAGAATTGGAGAGACTTGAACAAACTGGGATTCTGTCAAAAACAGAGTTTGGTGAGTGGGCAGCGCGGGGCCGGCGCTGCCCACTCACTAAACTCCTGTTTTTGACAGAATCCCAGTTTGTTCAAGTCTCTCCAATTCTAGATTCTGTAAAAAGAAGTCAGGAGAAATCCGCGTATGCGCAGATTTTTCGATCGGACTCAACAAGGCGATAAAAGACCACCATTACCCACTACCGAGCCCAGAAGAAATATTTACAAAACTCAACGGCGCTAAGATATTTTTAAAAATAGATCTAAGTGAGGCTTATCTACAAATCCCAGTACAAGAAGAGAGTACGAAAATCCTTTGCATTAAGACACACAAAGGGTTGTACAAATTCAACAGACTACCATTCGGAGTAAAAGTTGCACCAGCAATTCTTCAACAAACGATGGACACAGTGCTCATGGGCCAGAATTTCGCGACCGCTTATCTGGATGATATTCGAATTAAGAGCGACAATGTTGAAGAGCACACATCACACATAAAGGAAGTTTTCAGAAGACTTCAGGACTTTGGGTTCAAAGTAAAAGGAGAAATTTTGATTTTTTCCTAAATGAAATTAAATATTTAGGTCAGATAATAAATGAAAATGGCAGGAAGACACAGAAATGAGAAGGTCAGACAGGAAGAGAAAATTGTTCGAACCCCTGATTATCAACCATAAGAGACAAAAATACTACCCCCCCAAAAAAAAAAAAAAAAAAGATCTAAGGAGGTGGGTGTTATGGGGTCCACCCCTTTTTCATACAAGTGGACTCGACCTGTATGTATTTGTACTGCTGCCGCTAAGTACCCAGAGTTAGACAGTCAGTCAGAGTAGAGAGATTGAGATAGAGTAATAGTGTGAGGTAACCGCTTGTAGAAGTCACAGTTACCAGTACGTAGACTCTAAGGAAGTCCTACTTCGAGACTATATATATATATATATATATATATATATATATATATATATATATATATATATTATTGCTACTAACCGTGTTCCTGGATTTACTAACAGTATTACCCATTGTATTATTGTGCAAATATATTTAATTTCTTATCTTTAATTCCTGCGTTTGTCATTCATTGGAGACCGAATTTCATCTCGGGATACACAACATTATGAAATGGACTAAGTCCGAAAATTATTTAAATATATTTTCTGTTTATACGTTATTTTTATAGATACAATTATTTAAATAGATGCTCTGTTTATAATAAACAGAGTTAACCTCTTTTACCGGCCTGAATATCCGAGAAATTTCATAGAAGTTATGTGTCCTTCGGCAGATATCGAACACAGAGTTGTCATACAGCGTGTCGTGTTATATCATTTAGTTACAAGAAAAGCATCCGACCAGATATATATATATATATATATATATATATATATATATATATATATATATATATATATATATATATATATATACACATATACATATACACTTTGAAAAAGGGAGAGAGTCAATAGTTATGAACATAAAAACAAAGCGAAAAGTGAGATTGTTCATTATAGGTTTTATGCATATAAAATGATTATGTTGTGTGTTTTTTATTGGGGCAAGTGTAGATCGACAACTGAGGAATGAACTAGCACATTTAATGTAGAAGACTACAGAAAGTTTTCTTTCCATTCAATCTCTCTCTTTCTCTCTATCTATCTATCTATCTATCTATCTATCTATCTATCTGTCTATCTATCTATCTATCTATATATATATATATATATATATATATATATGCGTGTCTGTGTGTGTGTTTTATCTGTGTACGCTTGCCTGAGACATCTAAATTATTATGAAATAAATAATTTTATTATCAATGGAAATAATATCTACATTTCACGTTTCCTCTTAACTATTTATTTCAACACAAAATAAAGAAACTTAGAAAAGATTCCTTTACCGAAATGAGGCCGAAAATTAAACTAAATAATTATTTTCTTTAGACAGACTACATCCCATTGATGTAAATTGGAGTCTAAAATTCTGTAACTTTAGTCTAACAACGCAATGCAAAAACATAATATTAGGAAATTAATTTATTCTTCAATTGGACAAAAGGTTATCTAATGAAACATTTTGAAAAAATATTTCTCTAAACAAGAAAGAAAAAACAGTTCATATAAATGTAAAAAAGTGTAGTTAAAGGAGAAAAGAATATATCTTCTATTTTTGGATTTCGTAAAAACTGCCTTAATTGACACAAATGTCTGTCGAATTTTTCAGTTGTCTTTATCTTAATTTTTTAAATATAATGATGCAAAATTATTTTGCTATTTTGAGAGACATGGCAAATTTATTCTCAATTTCACACTCATTTTCTCTTTTCTTGTCTATTTTACCACATTTCCTCTTTATACACACAAACACACACACACACACTCACACACAGCCATACACACACATATATTTCTATATTTGAGTTCATGCGCGCAATACATTCATATAAGTATAAGTAGCAATATTAGTTTTAAGTTTTCATCTGATATCCTGTGACGAAAACAAGTTACACCAAAAAATTTCGCTGAAGTCATGAAGGACGCATAGATTTTGAAAAAGCTGCAATAAAAAATTTAAAAAAAAACTGTAAAAAAGATAATAAAACTTTAAAACAAAACAGAATTTAAAAAATCAAAACTGAAATAAAATAAAAAAAGACAAAATTAAATCCAATAACCTCGACTTCGTTTTAACATAGCGTAAACAGAAATTTGAACATCTTCCATTCAGTGTGACGGCATTATTTATTGCGGGACTGAATTGGGTGCCTCCATTTTAGAGAGTTACAATTTCCGGGACATATGCTACTTGGCACATAAGATTAGAGAATAAATCACAAACATCTGATAAAAAAGTTTACAGAAATAAAATAACTTAAATAAGATAGCAATAACAGGCCTGGCAGGCATACATCCTGGGTCCTTAACTAGGAACCTTACATAAAGAAAAAATACAATTAAAATTCAGTCTTTTAAAAAGAAATATAGATTTTTTACCCTTTGACTAAATTAATTTGTTTATTTAAGATACAGATGTTAATATTAGTTTTATTTTTTATTTCAGCTGAACGTGTAGTGTTTTAAATTTTTAAATTTTTGATGAAAATTTAGAAGATTTAGGAATTCTATCGCAGTTATTATTTTAATATGATAATATTCTTCATAAAAATGAATATATTGATTATAACATTTATTATTTTATGAATATTTTTTCTAACAGATATTTTTAAAACAAGTATGTTGAATTGTAGCTTTACTGTCCTTCGTAAGTACAAAACGAAAATAATTAATGAACAATGTTATTTATTAAGAATATTTTCACAGAAAGCTAATGTTATAATTAAATTAAATATAGTTAATATTTTTGATTGTACTGTAAACGATATTGAAAAAGTGTAAACTAGAAAACAATACATTTCTGTATAGTTGAACTATTTTAAAGTAGTAAATTTACTAAAAATATAGTTAAGACTTTTGTTGCATAGATTTAATATTCTTCTCTATAACAAAGAATATATTAACTATAAAATATATTTTCCATGAATAAGTTTTATTCTTCATATATATATATATATATATATATATATATATATGTGTGTGTGTGTGTGTGTGTGTGTGTGTGTATGTGTGTGTGTGCGTGTGTGTGTAAAATATTTGTAAATAATATAATTAGACGATGGGTTAAATGTTAATTTGACTCATAAGAAATTAGTTTTTGTTTTTTTTTGTTTTTTTTTTTGTTTTTTTTGTTTTTTTTCCTGGAACGACTTCTAAGGATAAAAGTACTATCCTAAATAACTGTTCCTTAAATATATCATACCAGTTTTATTTTTGATTTTGTTTTTTTTGTTACAAAAAAAATTAACTCGTGTGATATATTGTTGTTCGTGCTTTACAAGCCCTAAGTGCTAGTCAAAGTAGAGGGTGTACTGAAAGTGGTTGTTGCGGTAAGAGCTGCAGTTTACGCGGTTATGTGGGAAAGATAACGCTTAACCCTAGACTTGGATAGATTAAGATTGTTGTGTTCGAGAAATCATCTTCTTGGGAGTCGGTTCTACAACGATATTGATCGTTGGAAGAAGCTGTTCGAATGGTACTTTCTGCTTCCTTATGAAATACGAAGCGAATAAAAGAGGTCAACCACAATTTTCGAGGTACATCGAGTCCGAGCTGTGTGTTTTATTTGGCGGAAATCTGTAATATAGATCGTCAGTAGATTTATCTATGAATTAGCAAAAGTGTTTTGAGAGGCTTCCAATGTTTCGTCTCTGCGGAACAGTTTGTAGGATGGAATATAATTAATCACCCACAATACCGCTTGGGAGTTTTTGGACTCTATCAAAACTAAAAAGTGAAGACTGCTGGATAGCTCCAGCCCATATATATCACCTATACTCCATTTTTGGAGCGTTATGATTGCTTAAAGGTAGAAGATATTATGAAGCATCAATTACTTACAAAAGTGAGAGACAGAAAACCAATATCTTTAGATATAGATATGTTCCTTTTGAGGTCTGAGGTTTGGTTACGTGATTGTGATAAACTAAAATTCACTCTTTACTCGGTGATGAAGCAACATTACTAGTTATTTTTTTTTGTGGTATGAAATGTGACCAGCTAGTTTACCCCCCTTGTTCAGTTACATTTAGCCGAGAATAGGGACGAGCTTTCAGGCTTCTGTCATCTAGAGGTGCACTCTTAAATCTATATATCATCTGCATAAATATTTACAAAAGATCAGTGTATGCAATTAGATCATGAATATAAAGCAGAAATAGGGAAGAGCAGAGACGCGAGCTTTGGGGGAGGCATGCATTGATTCCATCGGCCTCAATGAACTTGCGATTAATTACTATTTCTATACTGTTTGGAAGGACATGGTAATTGAGAAAACCTCTCTAGTGTTTCCATGTCTGGTGAGCTTGTGTAGCAACAACGTGTGTTAATCTTTGTCAAAAGCGATCGTCCTCATGATGTATTTATTTTCTAATGCCTCGTTGATTCTGTAATTAATGAATGTTAAGATATCAGCAGTGGAGCGAGCAGATTGAAATATGTATTCTTTGTCACTTACGATGTAAAATGGTTTACATACGAAAAAGGATTGTTTGTAAAAAAATTCATTATCGATCGCAAAATCGTTGGATGGATGAGAGGCAATGATATGTGTGTTGTGGGATCGTCTGAGTAATATTCATTTAGAGTTGATAAAACGCTATGAAATATTAACTGAACATTTTATGTCCAGTAACTGCAATATGTCCATAAAATTTTGATCTAAAAATACTCTACACCCATAAAGAGAAAGGAAACATTTTTCTCCACGACAATGGATGGCAGCTCATACATAACAAAGTTCCAAACGACAAATTTGGAATTGGAGTACTCGTTTCTGCTTCACCCACCATATTCACCCACATATTACACCAATCGATTATTATCTTTTTGACGGCTGCAAAACGTTGTGATTGGGAACACAAAGAATCAAGCGTTGGAGGGAAACTTTTACACATCAGCATATGTCAAAAATATGAACCATTGGCATCTTTGGTGAGATTTCCATCATTAAGTTGTATATTTCATATCATGTTTTTCGAATAAGTGGTGAAAATGAAAGTAAACCCATGACAGAAATGCCCGCTCAAAATATTTCGACCCATTGACCTTTCTGAGAGTCTTGCCAAATTATCTGCACATTTCCTTTGGAGCGTCTATTATGCCAATATTTTTTTCGAAACAAAACTGATTTCATCCAACAAATGCAATTTCATTAATTTGTAAAGAACTACAAAATACATACAGAGCAATTATTAGGCAAGAAAATAGTCATAAAATAAAATACACACAGAGTTATTATTCGGCAAGAAAATAGTCATAAAATACAATACACACAGAGTTATTATTAGGCAAGGAAATAGTCATAAAATAAAATAATCGTACAATAAAATAATCAAACAATAGAAATATCCGGAATGAACTTATAGATTGAATTTAATATATAGATTGGATCTTGAATTATTTGAAAAAAACAACATTAATCTAAGGAAATTCAATTCAAGTTTGACATCCGTGAACTTAATAATTGTATTTTCATGGAGGATATTCAAGCCATGTTTTAAGTACCCTCATCAGATCGAAATGTTCATAACGAATGCAATGCATGGCGCCAAAATTTGGAAATATCGAAACAGTCGAATGTATTCAATCGCTTTCTAAGATCAATGGTTAAAAATGACTTCGTTCTTGTGAAATGTGTAGGTCTTAGTGAGGATGATCTTCCGTCGCACTTCGGGGACAAGAGCGTTTATAGAATCCGAAAGAACTGTGTCAGATAACAGAAACGACGTTCAAGGGTGGCAACAACTAAAAGCGTTAGCACAAGTAAATCAAAGAGATAATAATAGCAAAATCAAGATGATGACGCTCTATACTAGCTCAAACAATAGACAAAGAATTAAGCGCCCAGCAAGAATGGAAAGAACAAAAACATTTACTGAATTTGAGTTTTTTTCCAGACAAATTCTTTGAAAAGAAAGATTTAATAATTTCAAACAGCAGTCAATGAATACCAAGTGTTTCCTTATAAGGAAACGCTTAATATTGTCATTTCCATTACCATTGCAATATATTTTCGGAAGAAATAAAAAAAAAAAATTCTTCAAGAATTAAAAATGGAATTCTTAGAAAATA